GAGCCCAAATTTGGAACTGGGAATTTGTTTTATTATCTATTTCATATTTTGTAAAGCATTGTGAGTTTTCGATTAAGAAACCCAACGATTTCAAAGCGAGCAATGGCAACATTGAAAGAAAAAAAAATTTTTTTCATCTCTAGCGCGCGAGACTGTGTATCGGAAATTCTAAAGATATGCTTTTTTTAAATTATATGATATTGCTGTTGAATTGAATTTTATGGTTTAAGTGCGAAAAACATGATATTTAATAAATAAAGGTAACAAGCAAAACGTTAAAAAAATGGCGCTTTGGGAGTAATATAAATTCTGAAGGCTTTCAGATTTGTGTGTGTGTGTGTGTAATTTTATTACGTTTTAAAACTGGTTTCTAAGTGAAACTGGCTCGTATACAAGTTACACACGGGGAAAGCCACGAAAACGCCGGCCACCTCGTTCGCGGGATTCGAACCTCGGACCAAACTACCTGCGTTCAGCGACTCTACCGCTCGGCAGCTGGTGGGCTTGTTAGCAAAATTACACTGCATTATTATTGTATTATGCTATAAAGTAACAACGCTATAAGACTGAGGGATTGTTCATGGAACTTTTGTAACTTAATATAGTATTAAAAAATAATTGTTTCTTTGCAAATTAAAAAAAAAAAAAGTTCATAGCATTCTCATTTTTATATTGTAAAAGAGATATTGATTATTATTAGTTTTCTATTTAAAATGTGTCGAAACGCTGGTTTGACAAGGACTTCAACTGCAGGGGACCTACACTGATTATTTTTACTTTAGTACGTTGTGAAAATATTACTATCTTTTCATTGTTTTCACAGAATAAAATCTTTTGAGAAGGAAGAGTATTTAAACTGAGCAGTTCATATATATATATATAAAATTCAAATAACAGCAATGTAATATTAAAAAGAAAGGTATTAGTAATTGTGTGACAAAAATTGCAAAACGAATTAATCACACATACAGGATAGATTAGTTCAGTTTTGGTTATATATTTTATATTGAAAAAATATTTTCTTTCATGTTAATTATAGAATAAATTGTTTAAAATAAAGCATTTTGATGCGTGTGTGATAGATGAATGCAGCAGCAATCAGCCATACTGTAATAACGAATGAATTTTATTTCTTTTCCTGAAAGAAATAATTTTCATAGAAAAAGAAAGTAAAAAAAACGGGAAGAAATAATAAGAAAGAAATATTTTCTTTCTAATTTCTTATTTAAAGGTAAAGCATGGAAAATAAAAAAAATAAAAAAAAAAAAAAAAAAAAACTTAGTTTGCTATTAGATTGTATTGCAAATTAATCATATTATAAATTTAAATGATTAAAATTGTTTATTTCTAAAATGATCTGAAGTAAGCTTAATTCATTTACTCTTATCTATTTACCATTGCTTTCGTGGTATCCCATATCACTCTTTATTTCTTTGCTCTAAATATTCCTGCGTTAATTTTCCCCTTAACGGGATTTTCCTTCACATAACACAGCAGCATATTCTGCTGCGTGTTGGTCATAATACTGTTTTGTACAATTTTTTTTCAATCTACAAATGCAGCGTGTGAGTTAGTGAAATAATAGGAGAATATTCCTAGAACTTCAGCCAGCGCGCGCTATAAATTTCGTCACTCGTCTGTACTGCGATTGGTCTAAAGCTCCTTGAAGCCTTGTCCCCTTTCAGTAAAGTTAAATGGACTCACCTGCCCACCAACTGAGGACCACAGAATGGCTTTCACCGATAAGTTGTGATGGCTGTCTATACCGGTTTTTTTAGTCGATATTGTTCTCTCAAGTTGTAGACAGATCCAGTGATCATAGAATATGCGTCCTGATTTGTATAAACCGAAAAAAATTGGAAAATGACTTTCTTGTGCATACGTGTATCATTGTGGACCTGTATCACTGTGAGCTCTTATCAGTGTGGATTTTTATTTAAATGAGTTTTTATCCATGTATGCATTTATTCATGTGGGTATTTGTCGTGTAGGGAATTATCACTGCAGGATTTCTTATGCAAGCTATTCTCATGTGAGCTTTCGCCGCGACTTTTGTCATCATAAAGAAATATCTCCAAACTCTAAAAAATAAGCAAGGAAATTGAGGCTTAAGTTCTAAATAGACTTCGTATTAATTATATTCATTCCTTGACCTCCCTTTCCCGTGTCTCATGGAGTTTTAAACGATAAGTCCTGATTTAATAACAATGCTTCATTGTTTATGTAGCATATTCTTAAGGAAATAAAATAAAAAACAAAACAGCATAAAAATTTCGTAGAAAAAGCAATTTCCTACTTATTTTGTTCTAATTTATCGCATTTTCTACAAATTACTGTACGACTGGCAGCTGTTATTTATTATAAAAACATTCAAAATAAAAAATGGTAGCACCAGGCACTTTGAAAAATGTGATTCATCACAATTTAAATTTTCTTTAGACTATCTTTTTTTCTTTAATTTCAAGGCAGAGGTGTGTTTCCAGTAACCTTCATAGAAATCTGTTCCATATATCTTCCTCGGCTTTAAATAGACCAGTATTTTGCTCTGATATACTTTTATATTTCGCGAATACATATCATGAATAAAATTTAAATTGTGATAAACCGTCACTAGTTCAATGCACCCGATGCCAGTACAGTAGATTTGCTTCTTACTTTTCGTTTGTATTACCTTGTATTTCCTTGTGATACCAGTCAGATTATTAGCGTTCGCTAGCAAGGCAGCAAGTAAAATAATATAACTACTGTTTATCTATATTTTATATATGTGCGCCCTTTCTTCACTCATATATTTGCTTTAAGAATTAGGCAAATTCTGGATGACATAGGTGAGACTAAGGTCGTGTGTTTCCTGTACAAGCTCAAAATCTGATGTTTTCAGTGCTGTTTCTTAGTTTCTTTATAAAATCACGCAAAAATCGCATGTTTTGGAATCTATTTATTTCCGGAAAATTTCTTTTACGAGATTTTATATAGCTTTGCATTAAAACTATACTGCTTAAAAATTCCATAAATATTAATTTAGAATCTTAGTGTCAGTGGGAGAAAGATTAGAATCATAATGTCTTTAATAGACGATATTTTAAGTTACTGCAATTTTGTACCGTAGCATTTCATTCAAGAGAGCGAGAAATGCGCCAAAGCAGACAATCAGCAAGAGGCGCACATCATGTGCATGTTTTTACGTCACAATCTTCTTTCTCCCTTAAGAGTTTCTTCTGGCGGGTTCGGTGGCGGGAGGGAAAGTTGCTACACAGATCCCGGCACAAATTACTTTTCACTGTGTGGAATTAATCATATATTTATTCTTAATACTGCTCCATGATGCTTCGTTATAGTACGGGAGTTAGATCAACTAACCTAACGCTTCAATGGTGACCTAGCTTACGCCCTTTCGAACTTGAACTGTTTTACAGTAACGGACACTTTCTGTTTTGATTCTTTCCGCTGGCGCGTGTTCCACCTGGATAATGGCTGATTCCAAAACTTCCACTGTGGTGATTCCACCTTTTATTCAAGTTGATCCATCTCTTTTGTTTCACATGTTGGAAGCGACGTTCGAATTAGCAAATTTAAACCGATATCAGAACAAAAGACCAAATTCAAATATGTAGTGGCTCACTTGCCGCCTAATATCGCCACTGCTGTTCGTGATGTCCTCATTCAGCCAGATCAAGTCAACCCATGTCAGGATCTGAAATCAAAAATTATGGAAAGATGTTCTGATGCAAAGACTTAAGAAATACACCGGCTGCTAACAGGTGAAAGCCTCGGTGATAAGATGCCTAGCGTATTTCTCCGTATTATGAAGCGTCGAGCACATAATTGTAATATCGACGACTCTTTCTTATTTGAACTATGTAATCAAGTGACGTCTGTTCCTGTCCAAACTATATTAGCATCCCCCTTTCATATTACTCAGGACAAAGAGGCGGAAGTAGCTGATCGAATTTTTCTATAAACAATACGAACATTTCTGCTATCGTCCCTAACAATGACCCTTCTCCAGAAAATGCCAACTCTTTCTCTCAGGCTATAAGCTGTAAGGAAATAAAAGCTCTTTGGAAAGGAGTTTCCGAACTTCATCGTTACAAGAATTAATCTCGTATCAGTTTTTCAGATCATAAACATTTCACGTCACGTGACAAAACGTTTTACGGGTATCATGGAAAATTCACGGATAACGTAAAAAAAGTGTCTCGCCGTGTTCAAGGAAGATTTGACAAAGGGAGAGTAAAGGAGACCAACTCTTCCCATCCTCGCATATTGCACTGCTTTTTCATTATCACTGTAAAATCAACTGTAAAATCAACCTATGTAAACAATTTATTTGGCAAATTATTATTACAATATCGTGATATTACTAAATTATTCGATCTCGACTGAGCACATATAAATACTAAAGATGCTCAAGTTGCTGATAAACCTAGACGGTTGGCTCCTGACCGTCTGAAAATTGTTACTCAATCATATGAGACATTCAAAAAGCACCTATTCTTCGCCTCTGCACATGGTGCCCAAGTTCAGAGTTGAAACTGAACTTTATTTTTAATAGTTTTTAAATAATAGTAATAGTTCTTTTGAGTTTTACAGAAATTATTGTAAATTTCTAAAGCTTATGTTCAGAAAATAAACTTGTCGGTCAATTACAAAACTAACATAGTCAACAACAATGTGAAACTATTAAATATTTAATGCATGAATACTTTTGAGTCTGAAAGAAAGAAAAGTGAAACTGGAATTTCCCTTTACTTTATTAGACATGTAATTAAGAAATTTGTAAAGAAATTTGTAAGAAATTTGTAAGTACCTAAGTAAGCTTTGAAACGGACTGCAATCTTTATCATTTTCGTGGTGAATAGAATTGCTAAGGCTTCGTTTTATAGAGAAAGGTTGCGTATTTTTTCAATGGGCCAGAAAATCTCCTTTGACTTACCGCAAAGTGACGTCATGCTATGTTGATAAAGTGACACACTACTTCCACTTTCACTCACGAACGAGATCCAATCTTGTTTTAAAGGACGTTCGGAAAGGTTTGATAGTTCCTTTAGGTTCGTGGACGTTTGTCCTTCAAGTACGTTTATTCTAAATACTCGTACCAATACTTGTATCTCATACTCTCTGCAAAAATGACTGAAAATCGTAGAAAGGTGAGTGAAGCATTATTGGCCATACATATTTATTTCGATATATGGCGGTCTTTCATATGAAATATATATTTGTTTTAATACTTAAACTGTCATGATGAAATACTGAGTAGTGGTTGCATAAACGTTTCAGAATATTTTGCTAAAAAAGAAAGCTTACTATAAAAATTTTAAACTTTTTTAAAAATTGTAGAGCGATAGTATATAATCACACAAATAATTTCTTAAACCATTATGCGTAAATTTCTGTTTATCAAATTTACAAATCAGTAAATTTTTCTCTCTTTGCTTTAGTTTGTTTCTTAATCACAGCCTTCTCATCAGTTGTTTAACTCTTTGAAATTTACATTTCTGTCTCTTGTCACAATTCCATAATTTGGTTGTTAATTTATTAATTGTTTATTGAATTTTTTAACAGTTCATATATTTTTTTCGCTGTACCTCTGTGTGAGCCGCTTTTCTTTTGGTTATTAGTTTTACTCTTCTTGTGTGATCTTGAAGTTGTAAAGCATTTTATGTATTTACTAATATTTATTAAAAATTTGTTTTCGTAATAGTTTTCATCAAAGTTGTCATCCTTTGAATATTAAACCCCAAGTAATCCTTTATCTCAAATATAAATGTATAGTGTTGATAGAAAATTAACTATGCAATAAATTTGTTGATTATTTAACAGAAATCATATGTTATCAACGTAGTAGTTTCTCATTAAAGATTAATTTAACCCAGTTATTTTCCATGTTTTTTTTTTTTTTTTTTTTTGGTATAGTCATTTTGTGTTTAACATAACTGAAGCGTGGTGCTTTAAATTTTAAAGAGAATTTTTTTTATTCAAAAACTGAATACTCTATATATTTATCTCTCTTTATGTGTGTATGTGTTTAGATGGAGAGCTCTCTGAATTTCTTTGAAAGGAATTATTATTTATATTTGTAAGAATTTTAAATTTGAAATATAACAAAACAGTCTTGCTAAAAAAAAAGTATATTTAAATCCCAAGATCTGTAAAATATGTATGTATTATAAATTTTGGTGTAATAATGATTTCATGCTATAATTATAAGCTTTTAAGCAATCATTTAATGGAAGTTTTACAAAACGTATCTTTTCACATTTCTCATTCTAAGGCAACATAAAAATTTTCTCTATTTCTTTACAGTTTTTCTGACCTTTTATTAAAACTATAAAAATTTATTCAAAATACAGGTATATTTATCAAAAATATTAGGTATTCTGTGTAATACAAAAGCATCAGATATATATATATATATTTAAAAAGTTATTGCACTTTAGCTTAATTATTTCCTTCCTTACTTTTATAAAATTGCATATCCTGTGTTGGTTTTAAATTTAATTTTTATTAATAAAATCTCTGATTCAGTTTTTTAAATATTCTGTGCTAGATCTGTATTCCTAGGGCATTTACAGTATACCTTTTCGGTTTGTGGTATGCTGTAAATTCATAAAGTTGAAGAAGTCATGATATTTCTGTTAAAGTAAAAAGTGTTTTACGTTTTGCAAGAAAAATGAATTTTCATTTCTTATAGTTCTTGATCAGAGCAGATTATTTTCTGTAATAATAAATGCATGTACAGTCAAAAGTCGTTAATTCGGACCTCAAAGCTACAAACTTTCTATGCATGCGCGTAAGACCTTTACGGCTGCGAATATGCGTGTGCGCATGCTCAAAATACTTTCACGCATGCGCGTTTAATGTATAACGGGTGCTATAAGCTAAGCTAAAATTATCTAATTCAGTTAATGTTGCAAAATTGCCTTGTTCCTTAATCTTTGAATTGGATCCGGGTTATTATTTTTTGCAGACTGGTTAGAGCAATTTTATGTAAGCTTGAACTTTCGATTATGTCAAATAGAATTTCCGATACATATTTACTAATATGTAAAGGATCTACAAAGCGAAAGTATGTTTCGAAGTCCATTAAACAAAAAGTGGAATTGCTGCAAAAAATGGATAAAGGCATATCCTTGTTTATCTAACCATTCCGAAATCTGTTTATCAATTTCACGCTGCTCTGTGGTGGGGTGGAACGCCGGGGCACGCATGAATTGGAAGTTGATCTGTCAGCACTATCCTTATCTTCAGGGCAGATGTTTTTATCTTATTTGTCTTATAATTCCTTACTAAATGTAGTATTTCATCTCGATGTACTCCGTCTTTGATATGATTTAAATCAAATTCCTCGTCATTATAATTCGCTTCCGATAGCGAAGAAAGTGACACAGAGGTTATTGAAAATGAAAAAATTTCGATTGACAAATTAGTCGGTATTCTCGACACAGCAATTATAGGACTTGAACAGTGGAACTTTGTAACTGAACAAGAAATTATGTCTGTTTATAGAATTAAAGAGAAAGTATTATCACATAAAAAAACGAAGCAACTTAAACAACTTACATTGAAAGAAATGTTTAATAAAGTAAACAAATAAATATTAAGCTTTTTTTTGTAAATTTTGATACCCTTTAGGTCATAATTGTTCTTTATTTCATAAATTAAGGTTTCATTTTTTAAATTTTATAATTTCTGCATGCCATCTTACCAGATTTAAACTGATGATCTATAATCCGGAAAAATCGATAATCCGGAATCGCCGAAGTCCCGACGAGTCCGGATTAACGACTTTTGACTGTATATAGTTTTCAGCTATTTGAGATTTGATTTTTCAGCTTCGTAATGACAAGAAGTTTCTGCATATTTGATAATAATCATATTTCAAAATCTAAATTTTGGTGCTAGCAATATGCACAAAATATGATAAGGATAGCGCATATAAACAAAGAAGCTATAAGGCAAGTACAGAATACTCCTATTCACGTAGGAAAAGACAATGAAAAGCAGATATGGATTATGCATTTAAAAGTGGAATTTTTTTTCTTGCACATTTCTTTGCTTTCTAAATTATGAGCAAATGTCAATGTCCTAGTAATTTTATCTACAATCTCAAGTTTTGTCAACTTATTTACTATAGCATCCAGACCATAACAGATTTTGGCTATTTAATTTTGCTGTAACTAAAATAATCTTATCTTTCCTCAACTCAAGATTTCAAGTTCGTTAATATTTCCCCCCTCCCATTTAATTGTGTTTACTTTTATCACTTCAGAAAAGTTACTCTACTATGTTCATTAGATAAAGTTATTTAGATTATGGCAAAACACTCGAGAGCTATATGTCTAAGATGTTTTCGTAGAAGACTCTTTAAGGAAAACCTCACATATTTACATTAGGCATGAGAAAAACGACAAAAATGTGGACACAATTTGCGTATTTGCCAAGGTTTGAACATAGATTAAATTACCATTGTTAAAGATTTCATTGCTTGGCTGCTAGTGGGCTCAGTTTCTGTTTATGAAAAAAGGCCAAATGTATATTTTTTAGGAGAGAATGCTGTGATGCAATATTTCAAAAATAAAAATTTCTTTTCCTTCATTTTTTTTTATTTTGTTGCTACAGTAAGTAGTAGAGTCGTGCTTTATAGGAGAGTTTTGTTACAAATTAAGGTCAGTACATTGGAAGAATGTATGTTGTAATGGCATAGCGGCCGACATTTCTTTATGACAAAGCATTAATGGATCGAGTCGGAATAGGGAGTGAGTGATATTTGTTAGAGAGAATTTTCAAACAAGGCTTGAATTAAAACTTTCCAAAAATATGTACAGCATATACTTTATTATGATAATAGTTTTTACCCATTGATGTAATAGAATCTTTCTGAGCTATACCATGTAATTAGATGTTCCTATTAGCTTTCAATACAAATGTTTTATTTTTTATGATTATTGTTGTATTATTTAAAAAGGAAACTGTGTTAAATAAACATTGGTGATGTTAATTTTTTAGCATTTTCTAACCTCATTTGCGTTGTCTTTATCAACTAGGATGTTGTTGTTTGTTGTCTTGTCCATATTACATGGAACTATAGTTGCCAGAGCCTACTCCAAAAAGAGGTTGAACTTCTATTTGCCACCTCCAATTTTGAGAAAGAGCCCCCTGGGGGCCTCCCATCCCTCTTCCTTTCCACCAATCCACACAAGAGGACTTTCGGCTCACCACATATTTAGAGTGTCCCATGCCGCACTGACACTATACATTTACAAACATCCATGTCTTCTCCGGGGTTTGGTCCCAGGCTTTTCTGTACTGTAGTTGGCTCTCCTAATTACTTTACCATGCGGGCGACACTCATTGGGATATACAGTCAAAAGTCATTAATTCGGACACCCATAATGCGGAATGATCTATAATCCGGACCTTAAAGCTACAAACTTTCTGCGCATGCGTCGCATTGGCGCATGCGCGTAAGACCTTTACGGCTGCGAATATGCTTGTGCGCGTGCACAAAATACGTTTACGAGTGCGCGTTTAATGTATAACGGATGGTATAAGCTAAGCTAAAATTATCTAATTATCTATTTCAGTTAATGTTGCAGATTGCGTTGTTCCTTAATCTTCGAATTGGATCCGGCTTATTATTTTTGCAGACTGTTAGAGCAATTTTATAAAAAGTAAGCTTGAACTTTCGATTATGTCAAATAGAATTTCTGATATATATTTATAATATGTAAAGGATCTACAAAGCAAAAATATATTTCGAAGTTCATTAAAAAAAAAGTGGAATTGCTTCAAAAAATACATAAAGGCATATCTTTTGTTTATCTAAACTTTGTTTATCTTTAACGCCGCGGGCGGCGGGCAATGAATTGGAAGTTGATCTGTCAGCACTATCCTTATCTTCAGGGCAGATGTTTTATTTTATTTGGCTTATAATTCCTATTAAATGTAGTATTTTCATCTCGATGTACTCCATCTTTGATATGATTTAAATCAAATTCCTCGTCATATTAATTTGCTTCCGATAGCGAAGAAAGAAGTGACAGTGGTTATTGAAAACTGACAAAAAAAAAATTTCAATAACAACGTAATCTAGACACAGCAACTTATAGGACTTGAACAGCAGAACTTTGTAACTGAACAAGAAATT